GAAGGGGAGCAACTGACTCAGGGCAATTTACATTCACAAATGCGGACTGTTATTGTGACTGGCACAGGGGAATACCAGTATACAGGCTACAGACTAGGGTGAAGGCTGGAGGGGGAACACAGACGGGGCAAGTGACTTAGCAGCCAAGAGGGAAGGAGAGGCTTTGGAAAAGAGGAGATGTTGTCAGCGGGAAAGGTGGGAAGCCAGGCTGGCAAGAGGAAGTGGAGATAATTCTGCCATGCCACTTTTTCTGAACTTTGATTTCCTTTGGTTCTCCCAGTCCCCACCTTCAAAGCCCCTCTTAATAAACCTTGAAGGCAGGCACCCTTCAAACAACTATAAGTGCTTCTCTCGGCCACCATGAGCCACACACCACCCAATGAGCCCTCTGACCCTGCCCCTGTTCTCAGCCACAGGCAAGACTCCTCATACTGCCCAGCTTGAAAACTTTTCCATTTAGGGGTGATCGTTTCTCCCTTCTGCCACCTACTGGCCAAACTTGAAAACATCTTCTTGGGCTTCCAGCTATTTGAAAATAGGCTGGTGCCTGAAATGTGTGTTTATTATTCATTACTAAGTATTGTTATTGGGGCTGGCATGGCGGTATATCAGGCTAATCCTCCTCCCTGTAGCACCAGCTTCCCAAATGTGCACTGGTTCGTGTCCCAGCTGCTCCACTTACGATGATGCAGCTCCATGTTTTTAGCTTCAGAGAGCAGCAGAGGATGGCTCGAGGCCTTGGGACCCTGCAACCATGTGGGACACCCAAAAGTTGGCTCCCAGCTTCAGATCAGCTCAGCTCTGGCCATTGCGGCCATTTGGGAAGTGAACCAGTGGATAAAAGACCTTCTCTATCCTCTCTCTGTAAAGTTTGCTTTCTAATAAAAATAATTAAAAAAAAAAAAGTATTATTATTAAACCTTACTTATTCAAAAGATTTTGTCAAGGGGATAAAAACACAATAATAACACGTAGTTCCTTACTGGTTTCCTTGACCTCTGCCAACCACATAATCCCTGTCCACTTGCACTGTAAAAAGTAAAATTACAACAGCTAAAATGTGTGGCCCTTCCTGATGTGTCGTGGCACCAGATTACTGCCAAAAAGTTCATGGAAAATGGAATTTTTAAAGAAACTTATTTTTGAGAAGTATTTTGAAGTCCATACATAGTACAGTTCATATTTTCTATGAACTTTTTGAAGAAGCTTTTTATAGTTTGCTTGCACCTCACACGCAGGGGAGACATGTACTATGATGGTAGTGGTGGTGATGAAGATGGCGAGGAGGAGGATATGGAAACACAGCGTTCAGGTCACGTGTCCAAGGCCTCATTGCCAGGAAGGGTCATGGGGCAGTGTGGCTCCATGGCCCTTGATGGGAATGACCATTTGTGCCTTTTGGGATTGCTTAGAGAATTCGAGATCACACATGTGGCCCTCCTGACATTTAGTGAGCCTCAGACAGTGACAGATACTGACCCCACTGTGCATCAGATCCCACAGTTGTCAGCAGCCTCCGTGAATAAGCCATGGTCTCCGCTGTGCAGGCAAGCAGCAGCGCAGCACCAAGCCAACTTTGACCTTCATACACATTCCTAGTGCTCAGCACAGCAGCCAGAATCTTACAGATTTGGGAAGGCAGAGAGAGGGAGAACGGGAGTTTAGAAACTAAGATTTGAGATTCTGTGAGGCTGAGAGGAGGGAAATGAGAAAAGTCAAGCTCACATAGCCCGAGCAAACAAATCCCGAGACACTTCCCACACTCCACTGTAACATTCTTCCTACTCCTTCCGGCCCCTTGAGAGCAGCGACAGGAGCCATCCTTCCTCTCTGGAAGATCTGCTGAACAGACGACTCCTAGCAGACCAAAGCTCCAACAATACCAACAGCCATCTGCACCCCCAGCCTGGAGGCTTTCCGGCCCCTCCCTGGGCCCATTTTCTCCTTCCTCCCTAGCACACGTCAGCTCCCCACTCTAGGTGTGACTGTTTGGAACTATTCCAGACCTCAGGTTTCTGCGTTGTATTTTTAGCTACACTTTTAGTGCATACTTGGGACAGGTGAGGCATGAAAGGGAATGTGGGTGTGGGTCACCCTTGAACCTCAAGGGCCCTGGTTTGGGGCTCTCGGCATTCCATTTAGAGGTGACTCACAGCTTGATTTATGAGCTGCCACGGGGCCAAGTTTCACCTCCTGCATAAACAGAGTAAAACTCCTAGTATACTGTGTTTTGTTCCAGGGGCCGACTTTCTTGATGGTGTTTTGCTACCTGTTTTTATTAGCGTTGATCCCTTCATTTTCTAACCCACAGCAACCTGGGTTTCTTCTCAGGTCCACTCTGCCAGGGTTAGAGGGACATCGGCTGTGGCAGGCTCATCCTGAGTTCTGTGGCTGTGAAAGGGGGGGGGGACCCCCACGGGAAAAGCATTCAGGGCACTACACTTGTCCCTCCACAGCCAGTCCCATCCTGGGGTACTCACCTACTTTTGGGAGACTGAGAATCCTCAGAATCGAGTCTAGACTCCTTTAAGCTACAATTAGAATCCACTCAAGCATGTCTTAAGTGATGTTGTGTTCCTCTGGAATGCTAGGCCCGGTTTAAAGCAATGTCACCTGGTCGCAAACCCCTGTCCCTGGGCTCTCCTGGTTTGCACTTTCAACCCTGTTCAGAGGAAGTAAAACCCGGAGTTATAATGAAGTCATTTCTGTGTCACCATGCAATGAATACTCTGTAAATTGGATTTATAATTCAGGTGAGAAGTGAGGGAGACATTAACTCCTGGCTGACCTAACCCATTACAACACACTCCCTTTACGAGGTCATAACAGTTACGCAGGTTTGTCCACAACCGGGTGGAGGGAAATTGTTTTGAAGCCCACGGTGCAGTAACACCAAAGAACAGAACAAAGATTGGAGACCTCCTCTCCTCCTGCTAAACCTGCGGTCTTTGGGGGTTTTGACTGCAAAAAAAAAAAAAAAAAAAAAGTATGTTTCAGAGGTCTATGTTAAAGTTCTTTGTACGCCGACCTACCCCACTCCTGAAGCTATCTTCCGTCTCCTCCCCTTTCTCTGTAGCCGTTCCTCTCCGTCATTTCCATCCCACAATGCAATCATAACCCCCAAAGAATGCAGCAGAATTCACAAAGACACAGGGAAGCCATGGCTTCTGGGAGAGTTGCAGGCCGAGTGTCCTCCTAAGATCATGTCCAGCCAGACCCTGGAAGGTAACCTTATGTGGATATTGTCTCTGTGGATGCAATTAAATACACAATCATGCTGGATTAGCCTACACCCTCAGTTCCGGGTCAAGCGGGTTCACAAGCAAGCCACACGAAGGCACGCAGGGCAGGAGGCCACGGGCAGCTGCAGCCAAGGCCCATGAGCAACGGCCAGTAACTACCACAGGCCGGGGACGGGCCCTCTCCTGACTCTCCGGGAGTCAGGAGAATGGCCCTGCCACACCTGGACTTCACATGTGCAGAATCTGGAACTGGGAGAAAGTGAGTTTTTGTCGTTTCAAGCCGCTTGGTTCAAAGTCTTTGAGAAATTAAGGCATACCTCATGACGGGCATCAGCAGCAAGACCCGACGTGTGGAGTATGGCAAACAAGAGGGCACAGGGCGTGCTCTGAAAAACGGGCAAGCTTCAGGCCCACTGGCCTTCACTCAAGGATCCGGGCATTCATTTCCATGCCAGAGCTTTCCATCTGGGACTCCAGCTTAGGCTCTGGGCCTGCAACTGTCCCGGAATCGACGGCATGCCCCCTCCTCCCCTGGGACTCCGAGTGAAGCTGCGGAGTGGTGGGTTTTTAACCTTTTCAGGCTCCCCAGAAATAGGCACTTAGCTGAGGGCCCCACAGACCCAGTGACCACCACCTGCTCAGAAAGCTCAGCTGGCTTCAGGATAATCCCAGTTTCTCCTCAAGTTGATTTCAACTTGCTCCTTCCTGAGCTGAAACAGCCCCAGGCACTGGCTCTGACACAGTGGTTGCTACCCTAATCCCCTGCGAAGTCTCACCAGGTAAATCCGTTATAACGAGCCCCAGAAGGTAGGCAGGGCAGCCACAGGTGCACCTCTCCTTTCCCTCTATTTCCAGGTCCTCCTTTCCGTAGAACAAACACCTTCACCACAGACTCCCTTTAGCAGCTACCTGAGGTAGAAAACATCCTACCCCAACATCTGAGAAAGCTCTTCCTGGGGTGGGTGTTGGTGTAGCAGTCACACACTGCCTGGACCTCCTGGCCCCCTGCTGGGGTTAGTTTCAGTTCTAGCTTCCTCATTTCAGTTCAGCTTCCTGCTAATTAATGCACATGCTGGAAGCCAGCAGGGATGGTTCCAATATCTGGGTCCCTGACATCCACATGGAAACCATGCCCGGGGTACCCAGTTCTTGGCTTTTGCCTCTCCTAGGCCCAGCTGTTGAGGGTGTTTGCAGGGTAAAAGGAAACTAAGGTGAAATATCTCGCTCTTCTATCACACTGCCTTTCAAATACAATAAAGATCTTTTTTTCCAGGAGCAAGCATTTGGCCTAGCTGCTGAAACAGAATGTAAGGCACCTGTAACGCCGATCAGAGCACTAGATTCAATTCACAGTTCTGGTCCCTGGCTTCAGCTTCCTGTCTTCAGATCCTGGGAGCCAGCAGTGTTGACTAAGTGACCGGGTCCCTGTGCTGCAATGGCGTTTGGGAAATGCAGGTGGTGTTTGGGAAACGAGCCAGTGGATCAGAGATCTCACCTCTCTGCCTTTTTAATCAATCAGTGAGACTCGGCTCCAGCCAACAATACAATCGCCTTTGAGGCAGGATTTCCTTCCGAAAGCCATACATCACCTTGTTGCTTTGCTAAGTTTTTTTTTAAAAGTCTTAAATGAATAATATTTATTGTAAAGAACTAGACATGTATCTGCCACTGTCAAGTTCTTACCTGTTAGTAACATCAAGATCTTCAAGGAGTTTTGAGTCTTCCAAAAATCATATTTAAATTTATTGTCTCGTCGAAGGGATGACACAAGCTAAGAGTTTAGGTATCACTTACAAATATAGAAACTTCTTTCTTTTGTACTTTACAGATCACGGGGTCCACTGGGCCCTGGACAGGCAGCAGGTCTGTGTGAAGTCATGGGGTACACAGCCCACTGATGCCAGCAGCAGGGCAGCCACGCTGACAGCGGCAGCAGCACCAACACTCCCCAGCAGCCACACCCCTAAGAGGGGGCTGGGTGGCTTCAGGACCCACCCGCGACCGAGGCCAGTCCTAGGAGCCCCACTTGGCAGATCCCACTCTCCAGGGGTCCCCTTCAGTCTCCACACAAGTCATTAACGGCCTTTCCGCTTCTTCATTTTGCCCCCGGCCACCTTGTTCCTCACGCCCATCGCTCCCTCGGTATCGTCGTTGTCCCCAGCATCCTCTCGCGCTCGCTTCTTCTTCTCTCCGTGCTCCCTTAACTCCTGCAAGAAACCAGAGGAGGGGACTGATTCTAAAGGACTGTCACGGAGGGTGACGCAAGAGCCCACACTGCTGAGTCAGCCCTGGAAGCTGCCATTAGCAAAGGACTAAGACCCCACTCCAAAACACACAGAACTGCCCACTCTGTAGTAACCACAGCACGGAAATTAACATTAGAAGCTACTATCATCCCATGGCAAATTGGCAAAAATACGATATCCCAGAGATTTATTCTAAGGAAAAAAGTATACAAAGTTGAGTATACTAGAATTTTCAACACAGTGCTAACAAGGAAAAACACTAATCAATGAAATCATGGCGCATATATATATATATATATATATATATATATATACATATCCACAAGGGAACTCTTTGGGAAATGACCACAGGGATCTACGTTTGCTGGGAAAGAAAAAAAAAAGGTCACCACATACAATCAGATAAAGTCCAATTACAGCCTAAGGAAAGAAAAACAGCCAAATCTTATCAATGGATCTCTGTGGGAAAAGGTTTATCTCTTCATGTACTACTTTAATCCTCTCTATTTTCTGAAAAATTTTCCCCAAAGGACACTGTTTGCTAAAGTTAACACTTTCAAGAACATTGAATGTTTTTGTAAACATTCCATGGAGGAAAGGGAGGAGAGGCCAAGTGCTTCCAGCCCTCAGGCTAGACCTGAGGAAGCAGCAGAACTTCCCAGGATATGTATCTAGAATTTTCTCACCACCCTTCTTCTACTGTTGCCACCATTACCAGTAACTGTGGGTTCCATTAGCTTATCAGGTGGTCATAAAAGGCCGCAGCTTTCACATCATTCAGTATGATTTATAGGACAGGGGATCAGGCAGAACGCCCAAGTTCACAGCCCACAGCTGGGTCTTCTGACCTCAGCTCTGATGGGATTTTTGGCACCTCATGATACATACCCACTGGCTGAGAATGCGGTCACCCTGGGCAGCTCAAGTCCAAGCTTTAATTCAAGCACTCAGTTGGATGACCTAGGTAAACTACCTATCATCTCTGCACTATAGGTTAATCATCTTAAATTTGTAATACGATACCCAGCACCCGTAGTCCCTTAGGCAGGATTAACACTCTAACGTGTCTGACACACAGCTTCATTTACATAGATGAGAGCGAGTTGCATGCTGCTTACCATTCGGGCAAATCTCTGTGCTTCGGTCACCCGCTCCGTAAGCATCATCACCTCGTCATCCTGTGTGGGGAAGGCAGGCAGCTTCTTCCCAATCAGGTGCTCTATGCGCTGGAACAGCTCCACATCATACCTGGGGAAGGAAGAAGGCAGGGCTACGGTTGTCCACCCAGGAAACAGCCTCCATCCCCAAATGCCACAGTATCCTGGGCTAGGAAGCAGTGTGAGCCCGATTTAAGAAATTCTGAGCTTATTATTCCTTCTCTAAATTCTGGCTAAGAAATAAAAAAAAGAAAAAATCAAGTGTGGCTGAGAGCAATCTGCGCTGATCATTCAAAGATCTCCCACCGCACTCTGAGCACAGAAGAGCTGTGGGTACCTAACCAGTGTGTCCTTTGCAAAAAGATCATCAATAGTTGCTCTGATCACTTCTGAATGATGGGAAAGTCACTGCTGGCCGGCTTCAGCAGAAGGAAACGGGGACCACTGGGGCCTCTCACGCATCAAATTCTATTGCAGACACTGTACATATGTGCTCTCTGGGTCTCGGCAAAACACTGGCAGGGACAAAGGAGTGTAGGTGATCCCACGGCAGATGGCAGAGCCAGGCTGCGAGTCAGTGTGGCTTCAGAGTCCTGCTCTGGGGTCGCTCTCCCCGAAAGCGGATTCACTTACTGAGTGACAAAGGTGATAGCCTTTCCAGAACGCCCAGCTCTAGCTGTTCGGCCTACTCGGTGGATGTAATCCTAAAACAAAAGGGTTTACACATTCAAGTGATTATAAGTTAAAAAAAAAAACACACACACACAATGGATGCAAACTCCTATGTAAACCTTAAAAAGAAAACAGATTCCTGTGGAACCTGGGAAAAAAATGGCCAGCACTATTTCTTGATATACAAATCCACTTCATCCACTTTATTCTCCTTGCAATACAAAAATTGTTCTAAAGGTTTTTTTCCTCCCCTTTCTTTCTAGACAAATCTACAAAGCAAAATTCACACAGCTACAGGCAACTGGCATGAAGAAAAACCCTAGATCTGCAGATTCTACCAACTGCTAGCTAACTAGTGTAGTGTACAAACTATACTACACCTCTCCAAACCTTGGTATCTAGCTCTAAGACATGGAAATACACACACTTTCAGTGCTAAGCATAAACGTCACGTGACATTCTGTCTACCATAGTTAAAACACAAAGACAAGTGATACACCTGTTCTCAACCAGGGGCTGTCCGGTAACACCTAGAACAATTCTGGTGTCACAATGAAATAGCAATCCTACGGGTAGTTGAGTACAGGCCACATGTGCTGCCAGCACTCTACAATGCAAACAACTAACCCCATGGCCTAAAGTGTTACTGGTGCCATGGCTGAGAAGTGCTGAGATCCACCAAGCACGACTATGGAAATGAGCTGATCAGGGGTCAGTACCTGCTACAACTGTCCCTCCGGCTATAAGCACCCAAAGCCTGCCCTGATGACCTGTACTCGGTTATTAATGTTATACATACAAATGACAGACTGAAAAAATGAAGAGCTTTCTTGGTTTTGATACTTAGGGAAAGAGCAAAAAAAAAAGTACGTCGTAACTAAGGAAACACAAACATTCCACTAACACAGTCAGGGAGCTAGAAAGTCAAGTCAGCAATAAGACTCACCTTGGAATGAGTAGGAATGTCAAAGTTGACAACCACATCCACATGAGGTATGTCCAAACCCCGGCTTGCAACGTCAGTGGCTAGAAGAATGGAACGAGCCTTCGCCTTAAACTTATTAAGGGATCCTAGACGCTTGCTCTGAGACGTGAGATAGATAATGAAAGAGAAACGAGAATTTTAATCTTGGAAAGTTAAAGATTCTTAGGATACAAGACACACAACCTACACACAATAAACACAATAACCAACATCAAGAAAAAGTTGAGTTTACTTCCCCCAAGTCCAGAATGTCAAGACAGTAATGTGCAAACAACAAAATAACATTTAAGGGATGGCCATGAGGCCTAGCAGCACCAACACTCACGTCGCCTACTGAAAAATACCCACGACCCATAGGAGCAGCTGTGTTGGAGACCAGCCCCTGATTCTAGCTTCCACCAAGGTAAACTAAGCAAGGCTCGAGTAACTGGGTCCCTGACCTGGCCCCCGTGTAGTAGAGGATTTAGTGCCCAGCCGAGGCTCCAGCCCAGACCTGCTGTGGGCATCTTAGGAGTGAAAGGGCAGACGGGAGCTCCATCTCCATCTTTCTCTCTGCCTCAGAAATAAACGCTTTTATAAATTATGACATAGGCTAGAAAACACAAAATATGGACTATTTAACATAACTAGGAAATACTTTATGTAAACTTCTAGAGACCAGAGGACCAGAGTCACAACTACCACCACAGCTAAATAAACCAACACAACAAGTTGCAACCAGACAACTAACTATACAATAACCTAGCCTGAGCCTCTTCTATCCTGAAACGAGAAAGTCAGCATGTAGAGCAACATTTCAGAGTGCAGAAATTCAGAACAACCGTGGGGAATAGACACTGAAGCCACATCCTTGTGTGGTGACAATCTAGTGTTACAAGATTTATAACTGCTCACAACACCAGTTCATGGCTGAAGATGTCACAGAATCCTTACCTGACTCATCTGTCCGTGGAGCGGGATGGCAGTGAATCCAAGATTTCGGAGTAACAGAGCTGTTCTCTGGGTGTTGTTACAGGTGCTGCAGAATATCATAAAGGAGTTTCCAGCCAATTCATTTAGAATATAAACCAGGTAGGTATCCTAAGTCATAAACCCAAAACAATACATGTCAATGAATCCTAAGGGTAGGAGATTCCACATATAACTAAGATTAACCCTACAGATGCTTCTCAGGTTTCCAGACCACCATCTGCCAACTGTGTCACCTCGTGAAACAGGCATCCCCAAACGGGCTGATGCCACACACGGGATGTGTCCTCAACAATCAAAGTCAAGTCCTTGTCAAACCACAAACTAGGTTCCCCTTCCTACAAAACCAAAAAGTCATATCAGAAGCAGACAACTAGAACACTATCCCAAGCCTGGGGTGAAGAAATTGTCTCACTATGTGAGACTTCATGACAGTGGCCTGATAGGTTGAAAATTCCTGGCAAGTCTGACTTATCAGCAATGATGGAAGCACAAGGTGCACTCCAGGGCAGACAGAACCACAGCTCTTAGCTAAACAAATGTTGACATATTTTTGGATGCTTAGGTGAGAAGCAAAGGGAGAGGCAGGAATGATCAAAGTCAACACTTCACCTTGAACTTAGAGGGAATGAAAAGGTAATACTGTTGCAGTTTCTCCACCGTTTGGTATTTGGAGGAAACAGCGCACTTCACAGGATTCTTCAGAGCTGCCCGCTGAAGCTTTTGCACCTGAAGAAAGAAAACCTAGGATAGTATCCAACCCCTGTATGCTCTAGTGTTATTTGTAGTCATTTTTCACTGTTGCTACTGCAGTTTCTCACCCATCAAGACTTACAAAGAGGAAGGCAGGAATTCAGGAAAATCTCACCTTCTTGGTCATGGTGGCAGAGAAGAGGAACGTCTTCCGGTCCCGGGGGATCACTTTGAGGATCTTGTCCACCTAGGGTGCAAGGAGGAAAGCACACCACAGAACGTTTAGAGTGGACTCCTGCAAACCGCTGCCTGGGGAAGGAAACAGACACCAACACGAAGCACATCGCTGTGGGCTCTGCAGGCCCACACACTCAATTTCACTAAAATGTCCTGAGCTACTTATTATTTCATACAATACCAGAGGCAAAAAGGCCAGTTAAAGAGCAAAACAGGTTAAGTTGATAGATTACACCTAAGTTGACCAAAGGAAAAGGTCAGGAATGAGTATTGATCAACTCAATAAACAGAGTAGGTCATCAAAGAAAATTAAAAAAAAACATTTCAAAATGCACAAAAAGGTCTAAAAAATGAAATGGAAAAGAAAATCTGGTTTTGCCATTCCTCATCTCTGAAGTCATGGAGCAGGTGGGGATGTAATTCTGCCTCTCTAAAACCAATAAATAAATAAATACTTTTAAAAGGGGAGTGGTGGGCCTGGCGGCATGGCCTAGTGGCTAAAGTCCTCACCTTAAACATGCCGGGATCCCATATAGGCATTGGTTCGTGTCCTAACTACTCCCCTTCCCATCCAGCTCCCTGCTTGTGGCCTGGGAAGGCAGTCGAGGAAGGCCCAATGCTTTGGGATTCTGCACCCCTGTGGGAGACCTGGAAGTTCCTGGCTCCTGGCTTTGGATAGGCACAGCATCGACCATTGTGGCTGCTTGGGGAGTGAATCAATTAATGGAAGATCTTCCTCTCTAACTCTTCTCTCTGTATATCTGACTTTGTAATAAAAATAAATAAATCCCTAAAAAATTAAAAATAAAAAAAATAAATAAATAAATAAATAAATAAATAAGGGGGTGGGGGAAGGGATGGAAGGGGACCAAAGCCCTCTTTAAAAAAAAAAGGCAGGTGGGGCCCCTTCCCTGCCAAGGCTGACCGGACATGGAGGACACAACTCATGGGCTACAGAAATTATCAGCTCCAAGTCAGTCAGCGATACATCTACTGAATTTTACACTTGATCTTAGCCAAAAGGCCGAGAAGCGATCTACTGAATTTCGAGTCGGCCTACAACTGCCTCGGCAGAGCCAGTCCCAGGGACTTCCTGAGCCACAGGCTGGACGTTCCCCACCTCTGCAGAGGGGGCTGAGGCACGGACAACGTGAGAGCATCAAGAGGGCAAATGGGCAGCTGGGATGCTACAAAAACTGACTTGGACCAGCACTGTGGCACAGCACCACCAACAACACCATCATCCCACAGGGGGGCTTAGTTAGTGCACCAGCTGCTCCACTTCCAACCCCGCTCCCTGCTAGTGGCCTGGAAAAAGCACACACAGCCCCAAGTATTTAGGACCCTGCCACCAACGTGGGACGCAGGCATGAAGATCCTGGCTCCTGGCTTCGATCTCACACAATTCCTGCCATGGTAGCCATCTGGGAAGTGAACTCATGGTGGAAGACCTATCTTTGCCTCTAACACTGATTTGCAAATAAATCAATCTTCAAACCACCAAAAAATTAAAAAATAAAAACCCTGAGACTGATGCAGTGCTCACATAAAACAGGTGTACAATGAATGTATTTTAAAACAGGCAACTTGAGATGCCCTACAAGCAGGAAGAGAAATAAAAAACTCACCTCTGTCTCAAAATCCATGTTCAATATTCGATCTGCTTCATCCATGACCAAGTATTTGAGAGCTCTCAGATTGAAGCCTTTTGTATTTTCCAAGTGGTCAATTAATCTTCCAGGAGTTGCTACAAAAAAAAAAAAAATGGGAGAATGGCAACATTCAAAGAAGGACCAGTAAAAATAAAATGACTTCTTCCTCCGCCCCCAGCACCAAAACACACACACAAACAAAACACAAACAAACAAAAATAAACGAAACCGTTAGGAAATTAACAAATGTTACCAAAAGAAAACTTGCTCCTCCAAGGTAATCCAGCCAACACTGGTAGGCTTTCTCTACCTGGAGTTGGCCCGTGTCTGTCACTGGCTCATCGACTCACCTATCACTATATGCGGTTTTTTCGCCAGGGCCAGGGACTGGGACATCGAATCAATTCCACCTACAATCACAGCTGCAGAAATAAAGAGAACATAAAAATGAGCTCCTTCGTGACTTTCAGAGTCCACTGGACATCTCTGAATTCTGCTGGATTTCTGCTTAAATTGGTTCTCCCCTTAGAATTAATGCTTTTCCCAAAGCTAAGCCCATAACTTCTAATGACAATACTTCCTTCCAGGCTCTGGCCCACTTACCACAGTGCACCCCGATAGAGGACCCCAGGGCTTCAAACTGCTCGGAGATCTGAAAGGCCAGCTCGCGGGTTGGGGTGAGGACCAGGGCGAACAATCGCTGTGGCGTCTCCAGCAGCGCATTCAGAATGGGCAGAGCGAAGGCCCCTGTTTTCCCAGAGCCGGTTTCCGCCAGCCCAATGATATCACGACCTGGAAGAAAAAGAAAACACCTCACACCAAGGAAATGCCCGCTCTCTGCACAGCCTTCACGTTCCCACAATGGCACAAAGCCAGGGGCAAGGCAGACACTGGGTATCTGATGCATGAGGAGAAAGGCTGGCCGGCCGAAAAACAAGGGAAGACACCTCCTCTGCTCTAGAAAAACTTAAGCCCGTGGCCAGAGAATACCCAAATGCAGCCTAAGGTGGTAGGGGCTTCAACAGAGGCCCTTAGAGAACATAGTGAGGACACAGAGGAAGGAGCAACTGCTGTCCCGAAGGCCAGGAAGGGCTGCAGGTGACGAGTGAGCCCAGTCTGAGGCCGAGAGGAAGGCGGACGTTCCTATAGGAGCCAAGAGGAAGGGCTTTCCAGAAAAGAGCTGCAGAGAAGAGAAGGAACGCGGCACAACACAGCAGAGCAGAGGCAGAAGAATGAGGCTGGAAAGGAGACCTGGAAGCCAGCTAAGAAGTCTGGAGGAGCAGGGAGTTTCAGGCTCATGACTTTCTTTGGTCTTGAGGACATAACAAGAGGCCAGGGAACTGAACAGGACACATTTCCACTGCTGCTCCTGAAACCGTATGGGTCAACACCTTACCAACAGGTCACCATGGCTCAGCACTGGTAACAGGATCACACTGTCCAGGCTGGCTGCAACCCACGGGCAGCGGCGCACTGCTGCTCCGTGACATTCCTCCAGCCGCACTCAGCTGTGGGCACGCTGGCCAGTGACCGCGCAGCTGAGAAGGCAACCATCCGCAGGAGCCCCCTGCTCCAAGGCAGACTGAGGAGAGCTCTGCTCCTCCCAGTCCCATGGGATTCAGAATCAGGCCTTTGGACAGTACACCTAAGATATACACACCCCCTATCCGAGTGCCCGAGTTCAAGTCCCAGCTGTGCTTCCTATGCTAGCTGCCTGCTCACATGCACCTGTGTGAGGCAAGCAGGGAGCTGGATGGGAAGTGGAATAGTTAGGACATGAACCAATGCCCATATGGGATCCTGGCATATGCAAGGTTTTAGCCATTACATATGAACACCATTTTACATCCCAGCTACTGCAATCCAGCTTCCTGCTTGTGGCCTGGAAAGCAGTCGAGGATGGCCCAAAGCCTTGGGACCCTGCACCCACCTGGGAGACCCAGAAGAGGCTTCTGGCGCCTGGCTTTGGATCAGCTCAGCTTTGGTCATTGCAGCCATCTGGGAACTGAGATGGCAAATGGGAGACCTCTCTCTCTGTCTCTCCTTTTCTCTGTAAATCTGTTTTTCCATTAAAAATAAATAAATCTTTAAAAAAAAATCCTCATCTAGGCCCAACACAATGGTTCAGTGGCTAAATCCTCGCCTTGCACATTCCAGGATCCCATATGGGTGCCAGTTCGTGTCCTACATGCTCCACTTTCCATCCAGCTCCCTGCTCGTAGTCTGGAAAACAGCAGAGGATGGTCCAAAACCTTAGGACCCTGCACTCACATGGGAGATCTAGAGCAAGCTCCTGGCTCTTGGCTCCTGGCTTCAGATCGGCTCAGCTCCAGCCACTGTGGAAGTCACTTGGGGAAGTCAATCAGTGGATGGAAGATCTTTCTATCTGTATCTCCTTCTCTCTGTATATCTGCCTTTCCAATAAAAATAGATGAATCTTTAAAAAAAAAATCATCTCCTAAATGTGCTCCAGTGCCTGAGAGCAAAGGCAGATCCCTTCACTTGGCATTCAAGCCCTTTACATCCGCCTCAGTCACCCTACCGAGCCCTTTCACCACTCTGCAGGAAGCACCTGCACATCTCCACACCTGCCTGTGCTGTCCAGCTCCTCTGGCTTCTGTCACGTGGCTCCCTATGCCTAAAAAGTCCTCCTATGTGACCATATGTCTAAATCCTTCCACATCTTCCAAGTTAGTTCAAACATCTTCCCAAGCTCCCCAGCCAAAAAAAAAAAAAAAAAAAAACTCAGACGTCTTCTCAAGCCCTCTGCACCTGGAAGGGACCACACCTTCTACGTACTTTGAATGTCATTCTTTATGTCCCCTTTCACCATAAACTGATGACTACCTTACTGCAGTCATGGAGAGGCCACTGGTACCCGGTGCCTTGCACGTGCAGCAAATCCACAGTACCAAGCCTTAGCAGGAGCAGACGTAAAGGCCCAGTAAGCCGATCCCTTCCCGCGTCATAGCTCTTCACGGCAAAAGAGCCAGCGGGCCCCACCACTTCTCCAGACCAAACACACTCATTTCCTCCATCGGTGACTTGCCTGATTTTTTACTTTATCGAAAAGACATCCAGAGAGATCTTCCACCTGCCCCAGCCAAAAGCTGGAAACTTCCTTCAAGTCTCCCAGGTGGGCAAGAGGGACTCAAGCGTTCAAGTCAACATTTACTGCATGGATACTAGTAGGTAGCTGGGGCAGGGAACAGATGAACAGGAGATACAACAGCACCCAGCAACTCCTATAAGGGATGCCAGCATGCCAAGAACTCACAGAACAGCTACACCAAGTGTCCTCTGCCACTTGGATACTATCCCTCAGCCACCGCCCCTCACGTGGTCCCCAGCTCTAAGAGACATGTTCCAGGTATGCTGTAGCTGGTGCCAAGCATTCTCAGGACCTGTTCATCTGAGACACATGGGAGAGGAATCTGGGGTGAGGAGGACCTAGACTTCCTTGGAATACTACACAAAATCTGACGTGTAGACATTTAGGGATGCCCTCTTCTTACGGTCATTCACTTCTCAAGGATCTTAGCACACCCCAGTCAGCAACTGCCTCTGGGTCTCTGACAGCCCACCCTAATCCTAAGCGAGTACCCTCAATGAAAGTTCTGCTTGCTAGTTCTAACCCTGCACTTCAACCATTCTTCCACAGATCTTTTAAGTAAACCTCAGAGCAATAAATCTCAAGTCCTCTGGACAGACACATGTCTGAGGCAGCCCTACAGCAGCACGCTCCAACCAGGGCCTTTCAGAGTACACATTCATCCAGGACGGAGAACAAGTCCCTTCAGCTGTTAAGACAGAAAAGCAGCTCGGTCAACAGGAACGGAACACGATTAACTTTTTCAATGGCCAACAAGCCCAAGCTTGGAATCTTGGGAGATCGTATTCCCTTTGAAACATGTAAGTAATTGCTTTGAACGTGGCATTCAGGTGAGCAGAACTCCACGCCGGATCTGTTGCGGGGGACATAGTGCCCATCCACGTACCTTGTAAAGCCAAGGGAATCGCTTCCACCTGGATTTTGGTGGGCTTCGTCCAGCCCAATTGGTCACAGGCTTCACACAAGACATCGGTCACGCCCTTCAAATACAAAAAAAAAACAAAAACAGGCCTCAGCAGGGAACAGTACAGCACCACCCCTGTCAGAGCCGGGCTGGAAGTCACCACACCTCACAGCCTGCTATTTAACAAGGAGGGCCGTGGGGCAAGCGCTCCAGAATATTCTACTGACCGGGTCCACAGTCACGAGCACGTGTTTTCTCACCTCGACACCCTCACACTCCTGCGAGCTGCTAAGTGCTTAACTACCACACCCAAGTGACTCACGTGCACACTGAGGCACAGATGACACCAGCTCGCCTCTGCCAAGCGACCCGGTAAGAACTTCAAACCCGGGCCCACAAGCAAGCAGCAGGCACAAGTACAAGCTCCAGCACGGATAACACGCAGCACCGTAAAAAGGAGGAGAGAGAAGCAAGCCGACCCCGGAGGGCAGCTGTCCCACCGCCCAAACCCAGAGACCGAGAGAGCGCGTCTGGCCAGCACCCGGGGGAACCCTCTGCCAGACACTGGCCAGCACCTACGGGAACCGAGTCCTGCCTGAGCCTCGCCCCACAGCAATACAAGAAGTCGGCATCCCCCAGTCTCACCAGATCTTTAAATGTTTTAGGTTCCTCCTCTTCCACCGCCGCTGACTCGAGGCCTTCGGCCGGAGAATCGTGCTCTTCGGACGCCGCCATCTTGTTTGCTGACTGCGGAAGTGAGCCGGCGGCGCGCGGGAAGCTGGGAGTTGTAGTTTTAACACTTGTTCCGCGCGCCCTCCTGCGGGCTTTCCGGAGATTGCAACAGCCGGACAGGGCAAGTAGTGATGGAAAGTTAGGGATGGGTTGAAATTGGTGGCCTGGAGGAACTGCACAGGGTGGCTAGTGACAAGAGCCTCCAGCTTCCCTTTTATTATTGTTTTATTATTTTGTCTGAAAGGCACAAAGAGACAGATCTTCCATTCATTGATTCCTGAGACTTCTCTGTAACACCTTGGTACTCACTTTGCTAAGCAAACCATTTTAAACAGACTGCTCAGAAGTTTCCATGTGCTAGCACTGTGCTAGATGCCTGGTGAATGGACCAGCAGCTGCAGCAGCCCTGGTGAAGAGAAGACAGCGAATAAACAAGTGATAACAGAGTATTTCAGATCTTGAAAAGTGCTGTGAGATAACATGCAGAAATGGCAGAGCAACCTGGGGAGAGTGAGTTGTGGGGAAAACTTGGAAAACGGGTTGACCGTTGACCCTTCTGAGACAGGAGTATTTGAGCTGGGATCTTATGGGCAGACAAGAGAAAGAAAAAGGCAAATCAGAGGCCCCGAGAAGCGTGAGACTGATCTGGAAAGCAACCAGGCACTACCAAGGCAAATTGAGTATGTTGTATGCCCTGTGCCCAGCAAATGCCTTCCTGTCTCCTGACATCCGGGTGGTCGGGGCAGTATTCTTGGCGGAGACCAGGTGGGGGCAATCTGATATCTATCTGGCACAGTGGATGGTAAGTATGTGTCTGTGGCCTGCAAAAACACCCTGGGTGGCACGGTTCATATGTGGGCTGAGTAATATTCCCTGGAGTAGATGTACCATACTTTCTTTATCAACTCCTTTTTGGACAGGCATCTGGTTGTTTCCATGTCTTTGCTATTGTACATTGTGCTGCTATAAACACAGGATTACAGATCCTCTTCCCGTATGCAGACTTCATTTCCTTTGAATATATTCCCAGAAGTGGGATAGCTGGGTCATACGGCAGATCAATTTTCAGTTCTCTTAGCACTCTGCATACTGACTTCCACAGTGGTTGTATTAGCCTACACTCCCACCAACAGTGAAGGAGAGTCCTTTTTTGCACGTCCACACCAGCAGGTGTTGTTGGCAGTTTTGAATGTGGACCAGTCTCACTGGAGTTAGGTGGAACCTCAGTGTGGTTTTCATTTGTATTTCCCTGACAGAGTGAAATTCTACCATTTGCAACCAAATGGTTCCAACACCCTTATGCTCAGTGAAATAAGTCAATCCCAAAAGGACAAATATCATATGTTCTGTCTGATATAAGCAAACACAAGATCAATAGCCCTTTCAATACTATTTTGCTCGTGGATTTTGATATTTTTGTTTTGAATTTCAGTCATTCAAAACAGCTTTTCTTTTTCTCTCATTAATTTCCTCACTGACTCATAGGTCACACAGTAGCATCGTTTTCTTCAAGAAGGTTTTTTATTTTCTTTATTTCTTCAGTGACACATTGGTCATTCAGTAGCATGTTATTTAACTTTATGTTGCTGTAAATTTTCTATTTTTCTTCCTGTTGTTGATTTTGTTTTATAGCTTTTCATTTAAGGGGATATAGTAACTGTGTAATAGAGACTATTATATCCAGATGTGAAGATACAATGCAGTATGCATCTCTACTTCCAAACCAAAGATGGACTCCCAATGAAACTGTTAAATATATCTTGACGGTAGGATGCTGGACTATCTGCCATTGTCCATGCCCACAATGTCAGGATACACTTAAATAGCAGAATCATGGACTTATGACTGTTTATGAATGACTATACTATTGTAATAATATAAGGGAAATCAGTGGTAGGGAAGAGATTTGGAGAGGGGAGCAGGGAAATCCCAGAGCCTAAGAAATGGCACCATAAAATAATAAAACAAATATATTTAAAATAAATAAATACATTTTAATGTAATGGATTTAAAATTTAAATAAATTCTTTTTAAATGTAATAAAAATTTAAAATTTTTATTTGAAAGGCAGAATTTAGAGAGAGAGGAGAGGTGAAAAAAAGGTCTTTCATCCACTGCTTCGTTCCCCAAGTGGCCACAACAGCCAGAGCTGAGCAAATCCGAAGCCAGAAGCCAGGAGTTGCTCACAGGTTTCTCACGTGGGTGCAGGGTCCCAAGGACTTGGGCCATCCTCTGCTAAGTCATAATCAGAGATCTGGATGGGACAGGAACCAGTGCCCATATGGGATACTGGTGTCATAGCACAGAGGATTAGTGCGTTGCACCACTGCACCAGTGGAAGAAAATAAATATACAAAGAGGAGGCACTTGGCATAGTACCATGCCCTGAACTAAGGACTGAACTAAGTACCGTGGTGACTTCAGCTGCGGCCGTTTGGGAGTGAAGCAGCGGATGGAGGATCTCTCTCTTATTCTCACTCTGCTCTGTAAATCTGCTTTTCAAATAAAAATAAATGCATCTTTCTTTAAAAATGGAAACTGACTTAAACCAGCCCACTGCTGTTGCGTTAGCAAATCCTGTTTGCATGGCCAAGCAGGGGTCTCGCCTGTTTGTTCTTGGAGAATTCAATCTTGGGCTATTTTTACAACTTCCTCTGGTGCCAGTATCCCCAAGGCACCAAGGGTTTGGAGAGGATGTGGCTGCTGTGACGGCAGCATCAGCTTCGCTCTGTTGCTTGGTGTGGGGCCTCACCCAGCATGCATCCTGGAGACAGGACCCATGCCAGCCCCTGGGCAGTGGCCGCAGGGGGCTCCAGCGAGAAAGCCTGCAGCGCCCAGGACGTTATCTATCTGCTTTGCACTCTTCATCTCGGAGGCTTCTGTCATGGTCACAGAAGGTACAGAGGTACGAGCTAGTCAAGGAGCCAGGTCACACCTTGTACTCTCAGAACAATGAGGAAGAGAGCAAAGAGGAAATCTAAATAAACCTTCTAGAACATCAGAGGGGAAGTAAGCCCAAAACAATGTACAGGCCCCAGAAGGACAGCTCTCACCGCTCCCAGCTCACATCTCAGTCTCACGTGGACCCTGCGCGCTGCAGTCTGCACACGAACCCCTCCCTCCCCAAAATACAATTTAAAATTATAGCTTATAACTGCGTTCCTACAAAGACAAATGTATGGAGACACCGTACTGAAATGTTTCCTTTGACCTAAAAGCTCATACTGTCTTTGTGATTTTAGAAGGAACTGAAACTTGATTTGTAGGGCTCTGAAAGTATGGTGGGTGGGGCCAGTGTTATACAGAGGGTCAAACCACCACCCGAGATTCTGGTTCAAGTCCCCGCTGCTCTGCTTCCCATCAAGCTCCCTGTTCGCGCATCCAGAAAGCAGCAGAAGGCGGTCCAAGAGCTTGGGCCCTTGCGTCCCATACATGAGATTCAGATGGACTTCTAGGAGCCTGGATTCAGCCGGTTCAGTGCTAGTTATTCAGGCCTTCTGAGCAGTGAACCAGAGAATAGAATATCTTTCTAAATCTATTCATCTGAAAGTTAGATGGTCAGACAAGAAAGAGATCTCCTGTCCACTGCTTCGCTCTCCGAATGGCCACAATGGCCAGGAGGCAGTCAGCCTGAGGCCAGGAGCCCTGAACCCAATCCAGTCCTCCCATGCAGGTGGCAGGGACCCAAGGATTTGAGTCACCACCTGTTGTCACCCCAGGGTATGCATTCACAGGAAGCCAGAAACACTTACCCAGCTAGGCCAAAGCATTGCCATAAATGAGCTTTATAAAATATGTTTTAGCTACACCATTTAGATATCTTCTTAGCACTTCTTTCTTCATCTTCGTCTCCTGGCCTCTTTCTTTCCTGTCTGTGCCACACGAGCAAGTTGCAATCCGAAGTCCCCCCTTCTCCCTCTTGATCACCACCACGGTAGTCAAAAGGGAGTCAACGGTAGCCAAAACGACCACCATTATGGTCTACTCTCCCACCCTACAGCAAGCACAGTGGGCACAGGCACTGTGGCTGGGCAGCTCTGCCTTCGAGTCCCAGAGCCCAGTGGCAAAGAGGCTTTCAGTAACTGCTTGTTCCCTGAATGAGTGAAGTAGGTTTGCGGATTATTCTCCTATGAGTGTGTTTTGCATGAATAAGTCCCAGAGCCTGTTTATCAACTAATTCCATGGTTCACAGGGAGTTTCTGAATCTGACCAGCAATCTGGGCGTGTGGTCATTTACTGGCTGAGGCCACGGTCAACGTGGATAACCACCCCAGGAAGTGGCTCAGGGCAGTGTGGCGTGGCTGGGGTGGTACGGGTCAGGAAAGCCAACTTCATCAAGCATGTTATTTGGTTCTTGGTACTCCTTGGTCCATTCCATCTATGGGTCTTTAGGACATGGGATTACTGTATGAGCACCCTCCCCGCCAGCACCCTCCCTCCTCCATGACAAAAATGTGGCCCTCAGGTATACGTTAGCCATGATGGGATATGGGATCCCAGCGCATGGAAGGCAAGGACTTCAGCCATTAGGCTACTGTGACAGGCGCAACTGATTACTTTTTAAAAATGGATTCGTCACACTGAATCTGCTAAATAATAATGAAAATAATAAATCCAAAAAAAAAAAGGATTCCTATAGTTTGAGGTTAAGTGAAAAGGGCTAAACATAGCCGCTCCATAGTTATGATTCATCTCAAGGCAAACATGAACAGACACTATGTAACTCATTTTTAAAAGATCAAAAAGTTTGAAGAATGAGCAACTTGTTTCAATAAAGAAAAAGCTAATTTTAGCACAGTAGGAAAAAATAAGCATAAAAATTGCTACATTTAACTGTATCTCCCTTTACCTCCACCCAATGCCTTTAGCTCAATGTCTAAATTGCCTCCACTTCCTTTTCATATCCAGGCTATTGAATCAAAAGTATTATAAGCTGACTGTGCACTCCCTGAAAGGACCAGTCACCATAGGATTGCAATGCCATAGGCGTCCCATATGAGGGTTTTTAGGTTCAGTTCCCAGCTCTAACTCCCCTTCCCACTTCCTGCAGAATCCAGAATGCTGCAGGAATGGCTCAAGTGCTTGAGTTTCTGCCACCTAGTTCAGAGATTAGCATTGATCCCGGCTTTGGCCTGGCCTAACTTGGCCACTGCAGGCATTTGGGAAGGAGATCACCAGACAGAAGTTTCTCTCTCTCTCTCTCTCAGGATAAGTACAATAAAAACAAGATCAGAAAGCTTATTTTATATATATATATAAATAAGCTGATATATATATATATATTTAATGGAGCAGGATCTATTTCTAATCAATTCTTGAAATGCATAACCAAATGGATCTTCTTTCCTGTGAAATCAAACTGTTCAACCAATATGAACCCTCCCAAAATAACGGAGCAATACTTCAGTGTTTAATACAAACATATTTATTTGAAGCTCTGACATTTTTGTGAAGCACACTTAGAATCAAAATCCTCCTCTCCCTCCTCCCCTTTACCACATGCCATTTCAACCTGTTTGTGCAATGAAAGCTTAAAGGAAGAAGCCTGCTCACATTCCCATAGAAGACAGAAGTAGCAATTTGTCTCTGGGGTGAAGATAAGTTACACCCGCCTAAATCCTGCCGGAAGCTCCAGTCTTCATCGGAGAAACCCAAGAGTGGATGGTCCGTCTCTGCCAACAAATTCCTATCAACATAGTTAAGTGGCTAATCGTCAGATGCACATATTGAACTATTTTTATGTGCAAAGTATTATTTCCAAATAGCCACCATCCTGTGGAATTAAAACGGGCTACTAAAGTAATAACCTCAGAAATTCAGGACTTCCATTCCCTCTGACAGCCTAATGATAGCTTGTCGCTGCTTTGGGAAATACCCAGTTTATTTTTAGGGAATAGGTCAGGTATCAGAAGACTATAATTCAATAATAAAAGATGGAGTTAGGGAATGATTGTACCTTTGCGATAAAACACAAACCATAACGCGAAGTACATTCTGAAGGTCTAAAATGCTAACACCTATGCAAGCCACTCAAGAAAATGATACCAGCTCAATCTAAACCAACAGCAACTTCCAAAATAAACCAAGATGAAGACGGATTACAATTCACAGGAAAAACAAAGATAACACTGACTGTCAGTCCTCACCTCTAGTGCAAAAATAGAGCTCCTCAGACACACTGTCCTCCCCTCCCAAAAAAATAGTGTGTGTGGAGGGGTGGGGTGCGGGATGGGCAAGTGCCTGGCACGTCCCACGCTTAAACAACACAACCAAATTGAGAAGGTGTGCTCCCAAAGAAGTTTCCACATGTTTCTCAACATTACAGTAATCGGCATGGCTATTGAAGCACTAAGCATTTGTGTGGACACACTTGGTAAGTTTCCTGCGGTCCCCGAAATGAAAACATGGCACACCCCCACCACAACACAAGCTGTTTGTCCATCACATGTGAAGATGTGACTTCATAAGACATCAGGTTCCCAAAATCTAAGTGCTGCCTTCATAGGTTCTTTTTATTTTTTTTTTCTCCTAAATGAAAATAGGTTCCCTTTCCTGGTCAAGTGTTATCTTCTGGCAAGGTACCTTTAGATAGACACGCATTGTCACGTATCTACCCCACACTTGCAGACTCCATTGACAATCTTACACTCGGCTCCTGATCTTTTGAGAATTTGCAACTACCTCCGAAGGAAGACTTCTTCAGAGAGCCCCATGACATGTCCAGCTCATGTCCTGCCTTCGAAAGCCCAACCTCATGAAACTCTTGAAGACTCCCATTCAGAAATTTGCTAATGACTTTCTAAATGTAGCAATTAAATAAAATTACAAGCAAATAATACATAGAAATTAAATAACAAACTGAAAATAAATTAAAAAAAATATGTGACCCGGTGGCTTTCAGAGAAATTAATAGAGATTGGTCAGTTTCCAGAAAATTCACATTCCTTGCTGTACCAGTTTCTACAATGAGTGAGCAACACTGCCCTCTAGCGAGTTTACATGCTAACATCCCTCAGCTTTTAGAATGAGAAACCGCAAGCAAGTGTGGTGACCTGGGGTTTCTGCACACACCCACACATTCTGCCCCTGACCCTGAAGGCCATGGAGTCTCCAGAAAGGCCAGGAGACTTTGTGGGAGAGATCGGCATTTAACACAGTGGCTTCAAAGCCACAGCCTGGGTCAGGATCACCCCAGGGGGCTTCCGTCACACTGTCCCGGCTCAGCCCCTTCTTCGGAGTTTCTGATTCATACAGCAAGGTGAAGCCTAGAAATTTGCCTTTCTCACAACTTCTCAGGTGAGGCGTCTTTGCCAACCAAAGCCCGCATTTCGTGAGCCAGGCGTTGTGTTCAGTTCCCCACAACTGAGCGAGGTTGCATACGCCATGCGTGACAGAACAGGAAGAAGGTCTGAGGGAGGCGAAGTGGCCAAGGCCATCACGGTCGAAGCCCGTCATAAACCCGGAGTGTTTGATCAAAGGCCACGGCCACCTTCCCTGCCCTGCATGCAGGAATCAAAGGGGTCGATCACCTGCCCTTTGCTGGCTTCGCTCTCTCCCTTCAAGGGTCAGGGCGTACAGGCTATTCCATTGGCCTCCTCTCTCAGAGCACTTGCAGGTCTGCCTGCGGAGCTACGCCATCTCCAGGCGGACAGAGGGAAGAGCAGGGCATGTCAGTTCCCGGTCCCTCTCTGGGTCCTGAGTCTTCCTAAGAACTCTCATCAAGTGTGGATTCGCCCTGGCTTCTGAAATCCCTTGCCGTCAGAAACCCTAGAAGAGAGCTTTAAAAACAGGTGACTCCTTGAGTGGCCTAGCAGAGCTTGGAGAGGACACAGAGGGTGTTACCCTCACCAGTCTCAGGTAAGACCCTCTCATGCCTAGCAGGTGCCTGGGTCCCAGGCCCAGCTGTTGGCATGCAGCATGCTGCTACAGCACATCCTGGCGGGCAGCAGGTAATGCTCCGAGTCCTCGAGTCCCTGCCACCCAGATGGAAAACCCAGTTTGATTTCTAGGCTACTTGGCTTGGCCTGACCCAGCCCTGACTTGACCAGGCACTTGGAGAGTGAACTGGCAGCCAAAAGATCGTTCTCTCTTTCCTCTCTCCCTTTCAAATAAATAAGAACTAAAAAAAAATTTAAACACAAACACCACCAAAAGAGTGAGCGCTTGCCTTCCCTCCAAAGCCCCAACAAATAACTTTAGGAGTGTCTGTTCCACTGCTGCTGACAAAAAAACAAAACAAAACAAAAACAAAAAACAAAAAAACTTCTCATGAACGAAAACAGGGTCAGCTACTCCACTAGGATCATGCCAAAGACCCCAGCCCTTAGGTCCAGGTAGCATGTCACATGGATGGGGAAGGGGCTGTGGGGACCACCTGACCACTTGGAACAGCTTTTCTCTTCCTTTGTGTCTGTCCGACTCAGAGTTGCCCTGGGGGAAAGCTACAGATTTGGAGCATCCCATGAGGACAGTCATGGACGGGGGAAGGACATCTCAGAACAACAGCGCAGCAGGCGGTGCATCTGGGCTCCTGAGATCATGGCTGAGGCCCGCCTTGGTGCAAAGCCGGACCCGGGCCTCCAGTTGCTCACTGAGTTCGTCCAGGGCCCCCGTGCAAGACTCGAGGCTCTCGGCCAGTTTCTGAATCTTGGCCTTCAGCACGGCCTGGCTGACCCTGGTGGCCCCTTCTGCCCGCCTGGGGACGAGGAAGCCACGGGAGCTGAAGAAGACGATAAAATAGACGCAGTTGTACAGGGCCATGGAAGCACTCCTCCCGCTTTGCAACAGCTGGACATCGCCGTGACCCTGGCAGCGGCAGAAGTAGTCTAGGCAGCTCAGCATCTCCCGCATCTGGTCCTGGCACGTGGCCGCAATCTCCTGCACCTTCCGCAGCTCCCGGGAGTTGCAGAAGATTAGGGAGACATCGGATGTGATGGTCACGGCCCCTCCGGCGGTGGCCACCCCAAGCCCCAGGGCCGATGCCAGGAGCGAGGCACCCAGCGTGACGGGGCTCAGGGAGAGCCCCACGATGGCGGCCACGGCGCCGGCTGCGCTCAGCGAGCTGCCCGCCACGTTGGCCGCCTGGGAGCGCCGGCGGAAGCGTTCGAGGCGCCGTGCCACCTCGCGAAGGCGCAGCAGCTCTCCGTGCAACCGGCCGCGCCGGTCCAGCAGCAGCCCCTGGAAGCTCCGCAGTGCGTCAGGGCCCCGCGGCTCCCCGGCCGCCAGAGTCTGCATAGTCTGCACGGCCCGCAGGTGCACAGGCGCTCCTTCAGCCCACGGCTGCCGGCGCCCGCCGCGGCTCTCGTGCGCGCGCTGCGGGGAGGGCGTCTCAAGTTCAAGCGTAGCGGCTACTGCTACGCCGGTCCGAGGAGTGGGGGAAAGCGGCCAGTCTCCTGGAGAGTCGTGCGTGTCAAGTTCACAGAGGCCAACGCTGGAATCTGTGACCAGTGGCAGGTTCTCGAGCCCTCGCGACCGCATCTACCAATGAGAAAAGGTCGCTTTGAGCTTCTCTCCCAGAGAGCCCTGGGGAGGGACTTGCTCAACTGTTCGACAAGAGCTAAGCCTGGCCTTAGCTCTGTTGGAACGCGCATTGCACGTGGTGGATTGTATAGTTTAGGAAGCACTTTCATCATATAAAGACCAGGGCCCTGGGAGCTGTGAAACAATTTCTCTCTCTCTCTCCTTTCCCCCCTTCCTATAACCTCTCCTCTCTCTCCCATCCCTTCCATTTCTCTTATACACAGCAATATCAAGTCACCAAAACCTTAAAAGCCACACCATCTGTAAGAAACCGAAGTCCAACCTTCCCTCAGCGTAATTCTTTGCTACATATTCATCCAGGCTCTTAGAATCGAGTCTAAGGTGTGGCTGATTCCAAGAGAGTTCATCTGGTCTTCAGAAAATTAATCAGTGTTTAGTAAGGGTTTAATTAAAACTATGTTGATACCACTCTCCATTATGAGGGCTTCCTCTAAAGAAAAAAAAAAAAAGGCTGACAGTGAAATAGGAGTGGCTTACTCAGTGAGGGCCACTTTGCACTGTGAGACCAGGAAGAAGATGGTTCACACAGAAAAACACTACAGGGGCTGGTACTGGGGGCTCAACAGGCTAACCCTCCACTTCCAAGTGCCAGCATCCCATGCGGGCACCGGTTCATGTCCCGGCTGCTCCATTTCCTTCCCAGTTCCCTGCTTGTATCCTGGGAAAGCAAAAGTGAATAGCCTAAGTCCTTGGGACCCTGCAAGCCCACGTGGGAGATCAGAAGAGGCTTCTAGCTCCTGGCTTCGGATCTGCTCATCACACTTGGGGAGTGAACCAGCAGATGGAAGAGCTTTCTGTCTCTTCTTCTTTCTGTAAGTACACATTCTGATATAAATAAATCTTTAAAAGAAAAGAACACTGCATGCTGAGGCGAAAGCCCGCGGGTTCTGCCAGGGAGTCTCACCTTCAGCCCCACCATCCACCTTAGGAATTTCTCATGGCAGATTAGACACAGAGACAGAATGTTCCAAAACTCTGAGACCTGGCACCTGGCTGAGGAGAACACCCAAGAGCCCAGGTCCGGGGGCTGCTGACTTCCCGGCACCCAGAAGCCGGTCTCCGCACACACAGGTCTCCATTGGCCCATTCCCTTATTCCAGGCAAAATGACAGGAAGTCATCTCATTGACCGCCCCCCCAACCAAAGCCTAATGGATCATGTATGTGACCCCCAGCACGGCCAGTCCTGCTGCTTTGCACCTGTCTCCCCACAGCCAGCAGGGGCTCCCCACTTACCCTCGCTTCTGATCGCCTCTAGGAAAGAGAAATCCCGGGCTGTTTCTGGAAGGGTGAGCTTTATAGTTCCCCAGAGCCAATAGCAGCCCTGGGAAAGCCTTGTCTCATTCTGAGAATTTGCTGTTTCCTGTCCTGGCCCCTGCTGCCTCCATCCAGAAGGATGTGACACGGTGGAAAATGACCTGCCAGTACAGCACATCCCGTAGTTAGGAAACGGACATTGTGTTCACTGGCACTCCCTCCCCAAGCGCAGGAAGAGAACCCTGGGCGCTTCCCCCACTTGAAACACGTGTGCTCATTCTCCCAGGGGGTGGGGGGGACACCCTGCCTTTCCTCTCCTGAGAATAGCCCATGACGCCATCTGAGGGGCTGAGAAGGCACCTCAGGCTGACCAATTATAGTGTTTTTTTTTGAGAAGTCACAGTTACAAAACCGTTTGGGGTTTTTTTTGTTTTTTGTTTTTTTGTTTTTTTTTGAAAAAGCCAAGGGCGGAGGTGGCCGGTCCTCTGCTATCTGATGTAGCCACTCATGCTCCACGCCTGTGTTTTTAAAAAAAAAATGCTTCAGGAGTCTGTGAGTGGTGGAACCGACCCCGTGCAGCTTTAAGAATGCAAGGCCACGCCCACGGGATGTGCTGCGTGCGGGTTCGGGCATCTCCAGCTGTGAGGACGAGGTCGGAGGTCTTAGAAAGGGCTTGATACAGACCAAGTGCGTCAGAAGCCGAGGCCGGGTCAGGCTGCCCAGGGAGCTAATTATACACGTTCAACAGCAGCAGGGACACGGTGTTCATTTGATGCAGTGGTTGTACCCTGTGGGACCATTACACAAATGGATTCCATTGACCAATTAGCGAGGCCCGGGCTGAAGGACAAGTGTCTGGATAGCTCGGGACTGGCCACAGCCCGGATCTCATGGAACAAAGTAATCCCTGGGGCATTCCCAGGGGGCCGGAGTCCAGCTTGGTGACTCAGTTCTACCTCTGGGCCCCAGGTCCAACCCCCTTCTCCTAACACTCTCGCTTTCAGGTGAGGATGGCCAGATGGGTATTTCACTTACATGGCTTTCTCTGGTTCATTTGGAAATCTTTTGTTTCCTTTTGATTTATTTGAAAGGCAGAGAGATGGAGACACACACAGGGATCTCCCATCTTACTGGTTCAGCTTCTAAATACGACAGCCAAGGCTGGGTCAGGCTAAACCCTGGGGCCAGGCGCTCGACCTTGCTCTCTCACAGGATCACCTGTCTTTAAGCAATGCATGTGACCAGAAAAGCTGGAATGGGAAGTGGAACCTCAACTCGAATTCAGGCCCTGTGGGCATCTGCATGCTCCTCCAGACATCCATCCCCCACCCCCCAATTTGGAAAGTCTTAACAGCCATATTATTTTTGCAGCAGAATTAAATCCTCATCTTTTTCCCTATACTTTATGGATAGGAACCAAACCACAGACCTTTGGAACGTGACTATTCTGATTTTGAGTCATGTCTAACTATTCTGGTTATACCTCCTCAAAAGAGAAACGTAACTTCAGTCCAGGGGCCTCCATTCTCTTCTTGTACTTTTGGGAAAAGCAGTGGAAGAATAACTTCTTCCATCCCCAGATGTGAGCTGTGAGCCAGGCTGAACTGGGGGTTTGGTGGACAAGGAAGGGCCATGCCCTGATTCTTTTTTTTTTTTTTTTCTTTTTCCTCAAAAGAGTCACAGAGACTGAGGAAGAGAGAGACAGGGCGCTTGCATCTGCTGGTTCACGCCCCCCAAATAACCACAACAGCCAGGACTAAGCCAGGCCCGATCTAGGAGCCAGGAGCTCTATCCAGGTCTCCCATGCGGGTGCAGGGGCCCAAGTCTTTGGGTCATCTTTCACTGTTTTCCTGGGTGCGTTAACAAGGAGAGATGGACTGAAAGTGTAACAGTCAGGACTGGAACTACATCCCTATGCTTTGTGATGTTGGCTTTGCTGTACCAGTGTTGCAAGGGGCTTTACCCGCTACACCACAATACCAGCCCCTCTCCTTTTTTAAAGAACCCTGAATCTTCAGTTCCCGTCCGCTCCCCCAAATCCCCTTAGAGGGACACAAATAATTCCTTATTTTGTGGCTGAGGAATTTTCCCAGGGTCTTCTCTAACACCTCAGTAATCACACAACAAAGACAGATACACTGAAGGCGCGGGAGAGAAGGCCTCATGCTGCTGAGCTCGGTCCATAGCCTGAAATCTCCTTCTCGCTCTGTTGTGCACCAATTGTTTCCCCATATTTTCCTTAGTATGGAGAAGGGGAGGAAGCTAAACATCTGGCCCTGTAGACTAGTTGCGGTTTCACTGGTTGCAGAAACTTGGCCTTGACATTATTTACAAGAACTGAGACTTGAACTTCATGTTGTTGACTCGACACTTGTCTACTTTCACGGAGCAAACCATGGCACAAACTTTGAGAAACAATTGAAGGCATTTTGGTCAGAAGTTGTGTGTGAGAAGTTCTCCCCCACACTCCTGCCCTATAAAGAACTGTGGATTGGGGCACAGGCACTGGGCCAGCAGCAAAGCTGCACGTTTGGGCTTCTTTTTTCCGCATCACAGTGACTGGGTTGCCTACCCAGTTCTGGTTCTTGAGTTGCCATTTCCTCTCCCACTCTCTATCTACCTCTTGAATAAATAAATAAACACACTTTTTTTTAAAGAAAATTCTTTCATCTGTTGGCTGTGTTCTCAAACTTCTTTTCCAAAGTATTTGTGAGGTACTTGTAACACATTATCCCAGAGTAATCCTTCCCCCTCACCTCATGGGAGCCAGCTTGAACGTCAAGACCTAGAGCCATGAGGACAGGCAATGCAGGCAGCAAGAGGGGTCCACAGCTCTGCAAACAAGGGCATCTCCCCAGCCCCGAACAGTCTAATTCTGGTGCTCTTGAATAGGGTCTGGGCACATGCAGGGGAGTCCAATTTGCAGGTGCTGTTGTGAATCTCAGTTCTAGAAGCTTCTGATTTTCCAACCACTGGTTTCGTAACAGCATAAACCCTAAGGCCGCTAGACAGTAGTTTGTCAGGTGCTTATACTGCAGTTACTATTAACAGTCTACTAGTTTTAGGCATATATTTAAAACCATCACTTTTGTAACTATTTATTTGACATATATACACACACAAAGAGGTAGACAGAGATCTTTGATTTGCTGGTTCATTCCTTAAATGCCTGTAACAGGTGTGGCTAGGGCAAGGCCAAAATTAGGAGCTGGGAACTCCATCCATCCAGCTCCCCCCTGCGGGTGGCAGGAACGCAAATGCCTGAGCCATCACCAGCTGCCTCCCAGGGTGTGCATTAGCAGGAAGTTGGCATTGGACGGAGCCAGGCCTTGAACCCAGGCCCTCTACTGGGGGGTGTGGCTGTCCTAAGCAGCCTTTACATCGCTGGACCAGACACCTGCCCCAAACTATCACTTTTGAAGGATAACGTGACAGTTATCTTCAGAATCTTCAACATGCGCAGGCCACTCCAACTTTTCAGGCTCTCAGTAAACAACAAAAACAAAAAAAGAAATTCTAAGAATACTAAAAATTGTGTTTACTTCATAATTTAATCATGGGATTTATAAAACTATTCATTGATAGCATAGAGCAGCGGTCAGAGAGAGTTTTGAACGATCTGATTTTTTCCCTTTCACTCCCTATCACTGTATCTCAGTGACTGTATATAAAATCTCTTTT